TTTATCAAAGAAATCATCAACAATGAAAATAATGATGAAAAATGTTAGTTGCACACCTAATGCCATGCTAGTGAATTTTAGCAGCGTAGACCAAACCTATTACTGCACCCTCCCACAGCCTGCATGTTCTGTGTTAGTATCATTGACAGTACGGTATAGACGATGTCCATTTAGAGACGAATCTCTCCTGAATATAGTCTGTTCCATTAGGAGGCTTCCTTGGCCTGTTATGGCTGTTAATGAGCCCTCTAACAGTGACACTACATGCCACACGCTGCTCCCTAGTGGCTCAGTGGAAAACATGTGACTCCATTAGGCCTCAGATGAAAAAAAAAAAAAAAAGACCTCCTTCCTGACAGCAGGCGGGAGGAGCCACTGAGCCTGCGAGTGAGGAGGAGTCAGAGAAGGAGAGAAAGAGAGAGAGCTAGGGAGGAGCTAAACTGGAAGGGAGTAACGGTGGGTGAGCGAGCGAGGGAGGAATAAAGTGAGGCAATAAGGACAGCAAGGTCAGACAAACACTCTCTTGGGGATGAACGCAATATAATGAAATGCTGGAGTGAAGCTTAAGCCGTTTCTACTGTGACTGTCTCTATTAAACCAACCTCTTCTCACAGTGTTTGGGGGGAGGGACTATTTGCAATGTCCCTCTGCTTTTAGCATCAAATATTTCTGAACCACAGTGAAGCCACCACTTAAGAACTGACTCACTGGTTGGCTTCACGCGCCTACATTACAAACCTTCACGGTTGAGGAGTCTTAAAAGAGAAAAGGGATTATCATTGATTATTCCAATCATTCTGTACACTGGCTGAAGCAAGAGAGTAGAAAATACTTTGCATTCAGGCTACTTCAAGGTCAGAGAGATAGGGAGACCCGGTTGTTGTGCAGTGAATGAGAAGCTTGAGGTTTCACAGTAATTTCTGATAAAATGGATGCGTTCCACTTAACATGCAGAGCAGAGTTAAGGGTTTTAGTGTGGTGCTTTGTTGTTGTTGTTGTTGTTGTTGTTGTTGTGGCTTGCTGTCAGGCTGTAGGATGCTGTTTCTGTGGTGAGGAGGTAGATAATTTTAATGAGACTGTGCGGCGGTGTGACCTCTTAGGTCCAGCGTTAGGCCTCCCAGAAGTACATGTACTCCCAGTGACGTGTGGTCCTGTCCCATCTCTGTTACAGCACCAAGCCTCAGTAGCCAGCTTGCATTCCTTTCTTATTATTATTATCCATTAATATATAAACTGGGCCTTTTTAAACATTCAACCTGCTGTCATGGACTACAGTTTCAGTAATGGTTGTCAAATATTAAGGAATCACAAAATACATTTGTTTCAAAATAAAGTGGGTGTGCACAGGAAAGATAGATATGTATTAAATTCTGTGTAATTTACAAGCAAATTGACATTTCCTTTTTACTTTCAGTGACCTTACTTTTTAAGGATGAAATTATGAAATTATTGGATCTATATTGGAAACAGCAGACTTGTTAAATGTGGCTTTTACAGCTGAGTGACTTGATTTGACATTTTCTGACCTGTGACAGCAAATAAGGACACTCTTCTATACACTTAACATGAATGTACGTGAAGAAGTCCCCTTTGATTTTCAGTGGAGTAATTACATAGGGTCTCCCTCTAACTGTACAGTATAAAACCCCTCTGGATTCTAGTGTAGTATCACGCCTAACTGGACTGATGGAGACTTTAAACTAACCGATTTGAAAACTTTTGAGGGCCATAAATTTAAGATAAGGGAAACTGTTGACATGAGCCCTGATGTGTGTACTGTTTTTTTTTTTTTACTGCCATCACTGCTCTTCAGTTTTGACTTTTAGGGAAGTAAGGTTAAGGGAAAATACTCGAGTCAATATAACCTGAACTTACAAGTTTATGGGAAAATTATTTTGGGCATAAAGATATTCTATCTTAAGATCATTAAATGTGTGCTGACTGAGTCATACAAGATAAAATATTACAAACATGACAAAGGTTTGCCAAAACATGAAGACTGGTTGTGAGTTCATAAAAGTTTGGGTTGACTATCACATTGAGGCTTATACTTTAAGTTAACCTGCAATAATACATTACTGGTAATTTAAAAATAAAAATTTCAGAAAGCTGTCTGGAATTGTTAATTACTAATAATACTTTCATAATGCTGAAACATTTTACATTTTAGTCTACATTATGCATCAGTCACTAGTGACTATATTTTGGAACACATTTGATGTTGATCTTATATACTGGTGGTTGTCTATTGAAATCACTTCTAATGAGTACAAATGGAGATTTCTGCAGTGATCCCGGCCCAGTCAGGGAGCAGATTGCTGAGCTTTGTAGGGCGAATATAAAGTTTGCATCCACAGCTGTTTAACATAGCGATGCCAAGAGTCTCTGAACCTCCTCATTATGTAGGGGGAACCTGGCATATGGCAGTATTCTCTGTGGGCATTCACAAGGACAGGGTACTGCAGATGGGGTTGGGAGGACACTTGCTGGTTCCTAACTAACACCCCTCCAGATCACTTTTCCACCAAAGCTGGTTAATGTGTAAGAAGCCCAAAGCATGAGAAGCGTCCTGATGTTACTGTTTTATCACAAAGACTTGCAGACATGCACACAAACCCACAGTAACACACACGTGCCCACATGCTTTGGTGTACAGAGATCACATGAGAAAGAGAGCAAACCTTCTGATCCCATGATGAAGTGGTGAATGTCCGGCCCCGTGGACATGCGTGGCCCCTGACAGCTCTTTTCAATCACCCCTCGTGGGGTCACCATCTTTATGTGGATGACCTAATAGGGCAGAAAACAGCAAGACTTTTTAGAGACAAAAACAATAGTAGACTCTTTCACAGATTTACAAATATTAAAATGTGGATATCACGTGTGCCACATGCATGAACACATTTCATAACTGACACACTAACTACTGCAATTTGTAGGGAGGGTAAAGTCCACAAAACTTGCTAATAATTTCCTTTCTAATTACTGTACAGTAACTGCAATGTCCTGACTGCCATCCTGTATTTGGAACAAACAAGAGCAGGAAGGTAAAGGGGAGGGCGTGCAACTCACCAGGTCCTCAATGTTCCCATAGATGTTCTTCTTCATGCCTGATGCTCTGGTTGCCACCCAGCCCCCCAGAGAGCTGAACTCCATGGAGTCAGGCTCATGCCCCGTACAGTAGCCACTCTCATTAAGCTGTGAAAAAATGAAAGAAAAACAATGACGTTGTAAACCCACAAGAATGTTTTAATAACAAGCAAAAAGAATGAGCATGCGAAGGGGGAAAAAAAATAATTGCAGCTCTGCTGCTGAATTTGCTGCAATGCTAAAACTCAGGTTTTATGGCATCATACATTTTTACAACGCCCTAAAATAAACCAAGTGGAAAAAAACAACAAAAAGACTAGAAAGAGATTAGTGCATTATTTGGGCAGTGCCAGATGACATGTTTAGGCTTTTTTCCCATCAATACTAGTAAAATTATAATTCTTGTCATTTATACATGTTTAGGTAAACTTGTGTTATACAGACAGTCTGGATGGCAGACTGCTACACATTCAGTTTCCATAGCCCCACCCAATCCACAAAATACTGCAAGTGACCTCTTTCCTACTTGCCACATGGCCAAAACAATGTGACAATGCACTTTGGGGTCATTTTAAAGTGTGAAAAAATAAATAAAAGCATTTGAGGAACCCAGAAATTTTCATTAGATGCACCATCCCTACAGCTTTGAGGAGAATGTGTAGGTCATAAGGAACCAGCCCAACACCTAAAAGATTGCATCTTTGGGCAGAACATTTAATAGCAATAATAATAAGGACCTTAAAGCACAACAACAACCCCCACCAGAAGCACAAGATGGGGGTTAAGTCGGGCCTGGTTTTATCACAGCACTCCCCTGGAAGGCAGTTTATAATGCAGACCCATCTGCTCCATCAAAATGGCCCAGTCTAAATGCAGCGGTGGAGTCTGCTTTAGATGCAGCTCACGCATTCCTCTACATCAAATGCCCGCTCCTTCTCCATTTTTCTGAATTAGCTTGATGGTGCCATCTGCTCATGACCGCCGCCTCACTCTCTAATCTCTCCCCTTCAGCACTCTGCTCCTGTCTCAAACTCCTTCTTAAACCCTGTTAGATCTACTGAGCAAAGAGTACCAAGGTGACTGAGCATCGGGAAACCTGCATGTGACTGGTCACACAGCTTGATTGTCAGCCCAACATTTTAATGTATGCTCTTTCCGTGGATGAAGATGGATGGGTGAGCAGTATTTACCAATCTCTCCAAATCCTGACCGACAATGCCAGCTTCCACATGGGCAGTTAAATTTTTCTCATCAATCCACAGAATGCGGTTCTGTGAAGGAAAAACAAACAACATGAGCGAGGAGGTCATAAAACATTCTGTATAAATGCGTTATGCCACACAAAATAAAAAGAAATACTCTATAATGCAGTTTGTTTCATTTGTCTAACATGAAAACACACAATTTATTTGATGCCGGTTACAAAATCTCAATAAGAAATGTTATGCATCACCATGTCTGTTATCTGGCATTAACAATGCACTCAACAGCAGTCTATGGAAACAGTCCTTTGACAGTTTGCTTACAATACTGGAAGTTTTGTCCTTCTAAACTGATGCTGACATGTCTGAGGATAAATGTGTGCAGAGGGGCTTCGGGACGGAGACAGTGTCCTCAAGGTTAAACTCAATTTAACATCTAATTCCAAATATATGCCTCTTATTTGGGCCGCTGGGCACATGGCCCACCCTTACCTGCAGGAGGTCATTTCACACCTGCCATCAATTATCCTCCAGAGGTAATAAACTTTATGTTCCAACCACACTGCTCCTTTCATGTGCTACCATTGGAGCCACCTCACCCCTGACCCCTGACACAGAACACTGGTCACTGGTGTCTGTGGCACCAAACTCAATGACTGGTAGGCTAGCAGGATCCAGACAGCTTATATATCACTTCTATGTGAGCCAGGATCAAAGGGTTGTACTGTACTGTTGACGATATTCACCATTTTATATCATATCTGATGGGACATCACCATGTTCACGTGAGATAATTACAATGAATCGCTGGTGCCCAAGTAACACATTTCTCATCTCAACAACAAGAATTAAGTTGTATCCCATTTACACAAAACAAATATCCTAATTCTAACTATGGCTGCAATTAATACTTATTTTCACTAGTTCACATAAGTAAAAAAAATACTAAAGAATGCCTATCACAGTTTCCCTGAGTCCTGTCTTAAAATTAATTATTTTATCAAACATCTATTATTTATATATTTTAAATTTAATTTTTTTATTTATTAAATTTAAATAAACCAGAGGAAAAATTGGCAAATCCTTACATTTGAGGAGGGAGAACCAGAGAATGCTTTTGCTTGATAATTTAAAATATACAGAAAAATGCAAACATGGACACTACATTTTTCAGTGTGTTGTTGATAAATAAAGGTTGAGATTGCCGAGTGACCACCACTGTCAATAAAGTTAGGGTTAGTTCCCTAGTTCTGTGCTCTGCCGGTCAAAAAGGAGGTTTATTACTGAATGCCAATAATGTTACTAAATACTGTCATGTTTTTATGTTAACAGTTAAATCTGACTTGGCATATTTTTTCTTTAATCAGTTAAGAGGAAACATTAAGAAAGGATTAAGAAAGCTACCCAAAAACAATTAACCATACTTCCACTCACACAATTTTTAAGTTAGAAAATACCAGAACATATCTTTCATATTTTGTCAATCACCATTTACAAACATACATAAATAAAGAAGAACTCTTAAAAATCAAAACCAGTACAACAGTTTCTCAGACACAGTCTCAGAAACTCAACATGTATCAGACTGCATTTGAGTTGGTTTCAGTTTTTCTTGCCATTAGTCCAGATTAACTCTTTTGTCACATACAGACACAGTTGTTTACGTACCATCTGTGAGGTATCCAGAGAGACGATGGAGCGAGTTTCCTCTGGGGGGCACTCTAGGGCACTAGAGACACTAGTCCCTCCTGACAGGGGAAAAAACAACAGTTACAATGAGTTACAGTAGAGAAGTATAGGGCTTGGTATCAAACAGTAGTACTTATTGTCTAAAATGTGTCTTTAGCATTAAGTAGTGAAAACTGGTAGTGAAAGTTAGTTGTCAGGTGTTTACATTTTACTTTGATCAGATATTTTCCACTGTAACGTGTCTATTTACTTTTTTTACTTGTCTATTTCATTGCAGCACAATCTTATATGGTTTTGTATGTTAAACACTGCTGTGTTTGAGAAGTTTGGTTTGTTTGGTTACAATAAAACATTTTTTTTTTATGTTTTTATATTTGTTTCAAAGTGGGATTTTTCCAGAAAGGTATCAAAAAAAATAATTCTCTTGGTGATTAGTAGCAAACTCAAGTATCATATTGGCACTAGTATGGAGAAATTTCAAATGACACTCAGTTCTTCATGAGTCTGACTTCTTATCATTTCAGTGACAGTTATACAAAATACAGTTTAAAAGGAAACGTTTACACAGTGCAAACATCCTTGTTCTTCTAAAATGACTGGAGGCTTGAAGATTTGATTATAAAATGTGTGACTGACAACTACATCATTAACCTGTTGACAAACTGCTGTGATACTTTATACTTTTAATTTAGGCCATTTTGTCATCATGATATAGTGAACTGTAGCGAGTGACAGAGAGAACGGTATTACATATGATAGAGATCCCCAGACTGGAAGGGTACTGCAGACATCATATGCTTAGAGAAGTGACCCTGCGTGATGCCTGCTAATATTTGTTTCTGCTGCTCCAGTACAAAACACACCAAGCAAGACATAAAATTCTGCATTGTATCTATCTACTGCACCGTCAGCAGTTACTTTACTTACCAGGTTCATTGATACAATATGTGGCTTCATTAATTTAAAAAAATGAATTTAATGCAATGGGAATAAATAATATATTAAAGTACATTAAATGTAAATACACATCTAGTGGCCTATTTACACAGTATGTGACAGCTAATTATGCTGATTACAGCCACTGATTTGATTACTCACCTCCATATGGCATCAAACAAACATTATGTTTGCACGCCAGTTGTACAATTTTCACAACATCATTGTGGCAGCCTGCAAAGACACAGAATATCGTTTTAGAAATTAGTGGCCATCATAAAGGAAATGTTTTCATTTACTGCCCTCTATTGCATTCATAAATTAAGTGTTAACATAATAACCAGTAGCAGACACATTGCAGAGGAAATAAAACCTGGCACATAACAATACGTGTATACTGAAGACAATAAATAAATGTGTATGGCCTGAGCCATTAGAGCTGTGGGAGCAACAGAGAGTCAGGGTGCGTTTTTGATTTGCCTGATAGTTGTGATTTGCCTGGGGCTTTCCTCAGGCGGAGTCAGACTGCATGAAGCTACACTCTCTGGGGTGGGATGTGCTGGATCAATACAAACTTGCTTCAGCCAATCACAGAGCCTGCATCCATTCACACTGGAGTGGTAAGCGAGTGGGAAGAGTAGCAATACCTTCCTACATGGATGTGCTTGACTGGCCTCAAGTGCTTTTAGAGGCGGTGAGAAATGCCTGCATTCTACTAAATTTTGCCATCCAATTAAACACACAGCTTGTGCCTGCGGATTACAGTTCAACAAACTAAACCTCCACTTTAAAAACACAGCTTGACTTGGAGGGACTACTGAGGAATGCAAATTACACATCAAAATATCTATTAGATACACAGCAAATGAGAGTGTATTTGCGGGGTCGGTAAAATTAAAATTTGGTTCTGGTGTGGATGAAACGATACCTACAGTTGCTTGGTGATTTGCTGCCCATTTGGGAAGCTGCTAATCAAGTTTCAACCATCAGTCAACACTCATTTGCATGATAAAATAGTGCCAGCCATAACAACAGAAAACCAATCTCGGAATCATAATTCATGGGTGTACTGTGCAGGGCCAGACCGCGGCGTATTGGGTGTCAACCGTCCTCCCCCTGACGCTTCTTATTAAGCCTCCACTCATACATATTAATATCTCTGCCTCTGCAGAGATTAACCCTTTAAATCACGTAAGCCAGTCGGGGGATCAGCGCTGCTACGTGGGTAGAGAAAAACAGGCCGATAAAAACACAGGGATGACAGAGCTTCTGAACTCACTTGGCCATACCACCATGTCTGGAACACGGCCAATTTTCCCTTCCCGCAGAGCGAAGATCTCGTGTAAGCAATGGCCTGAAAGAAAATACAGGAAGGAGATGACACAAAATAAAAAACAATGTGGCTAAGTTTCAAACCATGCTAAACAATTAGACAAAGTGGGTGAGTACAATGTCCAAAGTCTCCTCTCAGCACGCCTTACCATGGGCGCGAAACACCCGGTCCTCCGCGTCATGAGAGAAGGGAATACCTGTGGATTTCACTTCCTCCACGAAGGCCTCGTTAAGTGTGGCAGGCGGTACAGCAGTGTTGGTCAGTATGGGCTGAAACAAAACAAGCCATTGTGGTTTTGGTAACTGTGGTTCTTGTCATTCATTGAAGACACAACAAATAAAAATGAATTGTACTCACTGTTGCTGGCGTTTTATGCTGCAGATTGGCTCCAAATGTGCCTTCAAACCAATCTTTCAGACCGGGGATGATCATACCACTTAGTCTATATCTGCATTGTGTATATGAAGACAGATTGTGTGAACAACCAATTAAAATAAAATAAAATTGATTTCCAGTAGTAGAAGTCAAAGCCCTCAATTCAAAACATGTAAATGCTTGACTGGGTTTATTCATTTGGAAAACCAGGCCTGTGTATAATAAGAGTAGAGTGTGAGGTTTGAGTCCAATGAGGTTATTAGGCAAGCAGAGCAGCAGTGACAGTGCTGTCCGTGTGATCGCCCTCGCTATCCCTTGCATAATTGAGCTGCTGGCACCGCCTGGGCCGGCCTATCAGGAGGACTGTGGTGTGCCTTTGTCCAAGAGACCATGAAACACACTCTATAATGAAAAAGCCTCTGTCACAGTGGGCGCAGAGGAGGAGAACACTGTCTTTGACATTCGTTCAACTGCGCTCAAGCCCCACTGTTACTGTACGCCGCCCAGGTAGCTTTTCAGTCGAGAGGACACAGACTGGTTTGAGGCAACTGCTTGCACAGGAGGAAACCATTTGCTGTGCAACATCCTGTTCAGCTCCACTTATTGCTCAAAACACATCCTCCTATAACCTGCCCGTTCTCTGTGTTTAAAATTGGACAAGCAGGGTTGTCTCTTCCAAAGTCATGAAAAACGAGGCTCGTCTATGCCTCTGCTCCTGTCATGGGAGAGCCATTCTTTCTATTGTAAACTGTAGACATAGTCAGTAAGACGGAGGACAACTTGGCTTTGTTTCTGAACACTCTCTGATATTCAAACTAAATCTTTTTTCTCCAACAATCAGTGAATAACTGTGTTTACCCACAACTCCCCAGAGACACATCAACAATTACACAACATAACTTTTTTTTTTTTTTTTTAACAGATTGGAAAGTGGTTCCTGTTTACAAGCAAAGAGTTTGGGAAAGCTGAAAATCACAACCAGTGACCTTCTCGAATGACAGTGAACAGTTCAAATGCCAGCCACTGGGTGGCAGTAGCACCACATTGCTGTGAGCGTAGGAAGGAGACAACATCTGATTGCAAAAAGCTGGGTTCACAGTATCGGCTGTGAAAATGATCAATGCATAACTCCAGCCACAAGCCACCAAAACGTCTGAAGCTAGACACAACATCTGTGATAAAACAAGATTGGAAGCTGTGAATGAGGCCTAGTCCCCGCTGATTTCCCTAAAACGTCAACAGATGAACATAAGCAGTATATCTAAGAGCAGTGAGGTGATATTATACAGTACCTTTTGCCAGTAAATTCTGCTTGGCCTTTCTTATTGAAGAGGAATCTTGAATCGCTGTATCCCCAGCCGTTCCATTTCATAATCTCCTGCCTGTGGAAAAACAAATATTGGCAGAGGTTAAGTCAACTCATACACCTGACATTAAATACCATCAGAGCAAGTGTGAAGGTGATTCCTGGAGTTAGTGACCTGGTATACTCTTAATTTGCCACCACAGTTCCTCTGGGCTGACACTAGTTTGGGCGTGGATAATTTCAGCCAGACACGAGGATAAAGGAAAGTCTGATAATATGATACCTCATGCTGACAGATTAACACACAGACATATAGCATTTCACCGAGGGAAGTTTCAGTTTCCTTATTTTATTCACAGCCTTTGCATTCATCCAAGGTGGGACCGGCTATCATTTGGCAAATTTATGATATGGGTGGGCGCCGGCAGGCACACCTACAATATTTCCCTTGTTGACTGAGCTGCACAACGCTCTGCATACAGCTTGTTGACAAGCAGAAGCGGCACATGTAGACAACACATTCATCAACACAGGAAGCTAGGACACACTCCCTGTCCTGTCAGCCATTTCCCATCCAACACAATAAAATATTTGGTATTTATGGCAACTGGTAAGCACTCTTGTCCACAGCTAGTTTTGATACTGCTCAGTTTTGATGATTAGGTGTGAACATGTACACTGATCTAATCTAAGCTTCAGCAAACTACTTAGCACACAAGCACACAGCCATACTTCCTCTCTCGTCTTCGTTGTGGAATTACCAACCACACTGGAGCGCAGCCATGAAGAAACAAATACTACAATGCTAAATTGTTGAGGGCTATTCTATTATGATCACCAGCTTCACAACCAAAGATGAGGCTATATACTGTGCAGAGCTTGTGTGCTGTACGTACAGTCTACAGAGAGACAGCTCGCCATAACTCACGGGTCACTTGGGACGGGATGCTACCACGGTGGAGTAAAAGCATTAATTAAGATTAATACCTGCCAAACTGGAGTTCCCTATGAATTAAGAGTGAGAGTAGAAATGAGAGTGACACATACTTTAATGAATCCTCACCACCATCGATCTGCTATCACAGCTGCTGAACACACTGAACAAAAATGTATCAATAAACGGGGTAAGCGGTCAGTAACTAGGCCAGTGAGTACACAGTACCGGTACAAACAGATCATTTCAGGTCATTTAAGCGGTAGGTCTTGATGAATATGCCATAAATAAAACTGCTCTGACACTTAACTAGACCTACAGGATATTGGATATAACAAAAAGGAAAGGGAACAACAAGAAACAAGAAATGTATGTGCATATGTGTTCCTCCTATCAATATGAAAATAATGTGTTAATTAAAATGTATAATTTTGTGTATAGTGTGCTAAAATGGCGCGACATTGTGCATTTAATGCTATTTTACAAGATAAAGTGAATGTTTCCACGGTATAACGATGCTTCTTCATCATCATTAAATATGCATATGTTACCACTGTACTGGACAAACATTAGAAATATCTCTCAGTGTAGTAACACGACACTAAAACTACAGCCTTGAAAAGGACCAAAATGAACATCTTAATAAATAAACCTTCATTTGAAAACACTTTAACCTTCACGAAGATGGGATTTATTGCAGGGTTTTGTTTATTTTATTTTTAAACTGCATTAATTTTAGCTAGGTGTATCTAATAAACTACTTATATTAATCTAAAAAGGAATGGAAATCCCTTCAAGGCAAACGCTTTCAACTAAAACACTGGAGCTGCGGACCACTTAGCTAACCATACAGGAAAGACGGGCTGAACCGAGGAAGTCTCTTGGTACTTCTCCAAACAAACAATGACTAATAGTTATCATCACAGGATGGTATGCAGTTGTGCTCGTTATAAACAAAAGGCGGGGGCCAAAGACACACTCTGTTTTATCTATCTGCATTTCAGTTGCACCTTGCAAGACATAACATTTCATCGCCCCAGTGTCACATTGACCAGAACAGGACATGGTGGATTTCACAAGGCCAAAATGCTGATACCTCTGGGTGCTGATTGTGTCTTCAGCTGTTATCCCAGACTTGACACTAGATGTCAGCACAGTGTGGTGGTGTTTCCTCAAAAAAAGGAACCGAGCTGCCAATAGGGTGAAAGTCAGACCACTACTTGTCCTGGCCAATCAGATCAACAGAAGAAGCAGAGAAGTTTCTACTGTCTCCTCCGCATGTTATTACAAATTACATTATGGTGCCCCATACCTACAAATCCAGTTAAGAAAGATTAAAAAAAAAACATCAAGGAACTGAGCTCAGTGATTTACATACCATGTTAGCATGGCAAATCAGATAAAGAGTAACTGTATATGTTAAGAAAACCACTTAACCCTCAACTTAATAAACAGTTTATTGAATCACAAAGCAGATAAATCAAACTGTACGTTACAGCAGACGGCTACAGCTAGACGGTATCTGTAGACTTCTACAGCAAACTGGTTACAAGCAACGGCCTTACAGCAACGGTTACTGTAACTTCTACAGCAACGGTTACAGCAACGGCTACTGTAACTTCTACAGCAACGGTTACTGTAATTGCTACAGCAACGGTTACAGCAACGGCTACTTCGATTCAACGAGTTTGTTATCTGAAGCAGCAGAAAATGCCAGAAGATTTGTTAGCCAAAACACTTTCTCTTCAGCTTTTTACGACCACTGACACTCAAAGATATCCACATAACAAATTAAGACGATAAATTATAACCCACAGCAGAAGCTACGCTGGACTAACTTAGAGAAAGTCGACCGTACGGACGTTTTTAAGTCCTGACAGTAAACCTAGCCGCACCCACTCCGTAGCCAAGTGATGTTAGCTTGCAGGCTAATTAAAACCCCGCTTTTGCCGGCTCCCCCTCCGTTATAATGCATGGAAGAAAAGGGGAACCCAGCCTGTCAACGCATGTCACCCCACTGCCTCTTGTTTAGATGTTAGTCCACTGTTTTCTGACTTAACAACCAGCTAAACGCCACAGAGGCTCCATCACAGCCTTGTACCTCCTCCTCGGCACCGTGTTCCCCTCACTGGAGACCTCTGTTTTGCTGCCCTGGGCTTTGCACTCCGCGGCCAGGACGGTCGAGTCACCGTCCACCGGTCCCTGCAAGTGTCCGGCAATTATCCTCAGTCTCTGCTGTGCAATCCGTCGCCTGTCGGAGCCGCCGCCGCCGCTGCTGTTGGACGCCATGCTGCTTCCGTGTTTGTGAAGGGAGGGAGCGGATCCATGAGCCGCTGTCACAGGTCAGCGCTGCGTTCACGGCCCGTCGGAAAGTACCGTTGTCCACACGAGTGACCCGAAGAGTGGTAACTAAATGCCTGGCAGCTGGGAATATGGGGTTTTTCTTTTCCTGCCACGTTTAGGAGTCGGAGAGAGAGCGAGAGAGACAGAGAGGGAGAAAGAGGGCATATGCGACACTAAAACAACAATTGTAATATAACACCATGGGATACATGGTATGTTAAATGGTTATTAGGCATTGGTTCAATTTAGGGATCAAATGATCAGGAAATTAATCTGCAGCTTTTTTTTTTTTTTTGGTTCCAGCTTCTTGAATGTGAGAATCTGTTGCTTTTCTTTGTCTTACATTTTAATAAACGACACGTGTTTGGTTTTTGAACTATAGGTTGGACAAAATAAACAATGAGAACAATGAAACCTTAACACCCAAGAAAATAATCAATAATTAATAATTAAAGAAAGTGTCCTTTCTTGCAGCTCTGGTTTAGATATGGTTAAATTTAGCTATACATTGGGTGTGCATGTATTTAGGTCAAAACAAATCGCCTATACACAATTGCACTTATGTCTATAATTATGGTAGGTTCATCATACAAAAAGGTTTGTATTGTATTGTTTTTATTCTTATTATCTCTTTATTTAACCTTTAAATCGGAAAATGTACACAAAAAAGTTACACAACTGACATGGTGTCTTCATTGAGAAATAGGAGCTAAAGGGGAGCACCTGAATGCACCATTATACGTATTTCCCAGCATGCCTTGCAATATACAATTGGTTGCGTATGCTCCATTGACTGTTCAGACTGGTATTTGCAGTCAATTTACATAGTTGTCATAGCTTTTCTATAATTAAAAAATAATTGCCATGCTTGAAACATTCAAGAGGAAGTCGTTCACAAAATATATTTTGATAGTTACTAAATCTACAGTGAACAAGGGAACTGAAGGTTACAAATAATGCCTTTATCAACAGTTTATAAAGTCAAAAATAATGAGAGAGCAAAATTAGGCAGTGGGAATTTAACACTAGCTTGACTTAGCTCAGAATAATGCAAGAAAGTGACACAATGGACCAAAAGTGGAGAAATAAGCTACAGTTATCAAACCTGTGAGCTAAATCTTTATTTTTTCAATAGATCTACCCCTATACTATTGTATATTTAGTTAAAACTGGCAACTTAAACCTGATCTGTTGTTTGAGACTAATCATTTATAATTGTTTGTCTGCCACATTTAAAAAACAACACATAATTTATGTGGCTTTGACTATTTGCACTTATTATTGCAGTATGGTGTCAGTATTCCAGTATGGTTTTAAAAACTAAGGGTAACCTGAAGTGTGACTTTACTGTTTACCTCTCTGCCTCACCTCCACTCAGTCATCTGACCAGCGTGACTACTGTTTCCATATGGCACACAGCAGTGCTCTTTAAGTAATGACCGGACACAACGTTACAGTACATAAATGACAAGGCACAGTACTTCAGAATACAAATTAACTGTGGTTAAATTCTCAAAAAAAGACAGAGGCTGTGAAAAATGCTTAAAACAAAGGGAAACTTTATTTGAGAGAAAACAGTTCATTTGTCAACAGGAACATTACATCATGCTGTAAACTTAAATGTCCAGATGTTTGAGGATTTATTTCCCACAGGTTAAAGTTTTAACTCCCAAAACAAAGTTCTGTAATGCACTGACTGCGAGCAATTAGAGTCTGAGTGTATCACAGAACTTTATTTGGAAAGCCATAGTGCCACCTCATAGGTTTGTCCTTGTGCAGGACCTTATCCTCCTCATGACTGGGTGCTCCTTTAACCTGTAGTAAGGCACACAAAGCAAGGAAAAACAGGACATCCACTCTGATTATGTCTTTTTTTCATTATGTTGACCTCAATGCAAAACATATAACTACAAGAGAGAAAATTGCCGGTGTCATTTGTGGCTATAGAAGTAGCTAAGACTTTAAGGACTGGGCCTACAGAAAGGCTTGCTGTTTGCTGTGTGGTGGGTCCTCCCTAGAGTCACACAGGTAAAGCAGGCCAGATGGAGTCTTTTTACACCTTGTCAGCTCTTTTCTGTACAGAAAAGATTAAATGGCTAGATATCATTTGGGTATGTGCAATAGTTGATCCTGTAGTACATCCCACCAAAAAGGATCCTAAAATGCATTTACTTGACCATCTGGCTGCAAAGTTAACATATGAACCGGTCTCTATATGAGCTGACATGTTTGAAGCTTCCAATTTTGGTGATATCTTTAACTTCACTGGCATTATTTTAACCCTGTGCCGGTGAGTCACTGAATCTACCTGTTGAGCCTCAACAACTTTCTGAACTGAACAGGCTCTGGAGGGTGACCTATTCACTAAACAATGTAGATAGACATGATAGCAATGAGGAAAATGCAGAAAGCTCCAGGGGTACTGAGCTCTGTCAGTTTGAAGGTAGTTGGGGCACTTGCCACATCAAGTGACATCAACTTTAGAAGTGCAAAATAGTGCAACAAAACAAACAGAGCCATGTCACCATCATTGTGCTGACAGTTATTTACACAACAAGTAATCTGATGAAGGCAAAATAAGTGCTGCAAGTCATACTGTACCTGATATAGGTAGACGCAAGGGACCAGCTGCAATTCAACACGAGGGCAAGTAGTCTTGATCATAAAATGCAAAAAGCAGAAAGCGATCTGAGGACATCGCAGGCCACCGATGGATTCACAGTGCAAACGCCTGTTTTCACTGCGGTTGGTGTCCGTCTGCGGATTTGCAGCGCTCTAATCGGAAAGGTGGCTGCCGCCGCTTTTACCTTTTCTTCCCCCAGTCCTGTGCAGTTCACTATATGCAGCTGGAAGAATGTCGACGTGGAGCTGCCAAACGTGAACGCGTGCTCGTGAGCGCGCATGAGGGAGGGGGGGGGGGAGAAATAGTCTTTTTTAGTGTAATTTCACGCAGTGGCACAGTGAGCTGCACTTTAGTGTGAGGTTCTTCACAGATAGGTGCTAGAGGCAGGACTTAGTCTGTCTTATTACCTTGACATATTTCAAAAGCCACTTAAATTACGCCCCGATCGGACTTCTTCCTTACGCTGAGGTGTCAGAATGGTTCAAAAAATTTAATTAACTTTGAGGATTTTATAAGCCTTAACTTTCTTTAATAGTACCCATCTCGGGTTGAGTCTAGCGAGGTCGTTTGAAGTTACAAAATGAGCAGTTAAGATGAAATACATGCATGTCTGTCCACCAGTGATGAAGTATTTAGATCCTCTGGTTAGTAACAGCGGTACGCACAGCAAATGTACAACAAATACTCGATTACAAGTCCTGCATTCAATTTTGCTTCAGTAAAAGTACAAGAGTATGATCAATATGCTGAAATCATAAAAAGTGAAAGTACTGCTTTCAGACTATAGGCTATTATTGTTATAGTAGCATATATAGTATCATTATTGATCCATTAATGTTTAAGTAGAATTTAATGCTGTAGCTCCTCAGTGTGGAGCCAAACTGTTGTTTAATCTACAGTACCAGTGGTGGACAAAGTATTCAGACCCAGTACTTGAGTAGGAGTAGTAATAGTTTTATAATACTCCATTACAAGTAAAAGTCTTGTTTACTTAAGTAAATGTATACAAAAGTTGATTTATCAACTTAAAGTATGAAAAGTATTAGTGTTTACAATGCACCAGAACGGTCCCATTAAGAGTTTTATTATTATTGAAAATGTTATTGGAGTATTATTACTGATGCATTAATGTATTAGAACCTTTTTATATGGTCATGGTGGAGTTCATTTTGACCACTTTATATATTGAGTAGTTTTGTATAAATGGATCACATGTAAAGTATCGTAACTACAGCTGTTGTAATGTAGTGGGGTAAAGGGTACAACATTGAACCTCTGAAATGTGGTGAGGTGGATGCATAAAGAAGCAGAAAATGGAAATACTTTAGTAAAGGACAAGGACCTCAAATTGTGCTTACAGTAAATGTACTCAGTTACATTCTACTACTGTGTAGTGTTGCATCATATTTCACACACTGGTCACATGTTTTGCCTGTAAAAAAGGTGTCACATCAACAGAAACATATGTAGGCTAGTGGGGGAAAGGTAGAATATTTCAGTATAAAAAAAAGTATAAAATAACATCAAATAACATTTATGTAAATAAAAGTACATAGGTCAAAATTGTACTTGCGTAAATATCAAAATGTAATTGCAAAAAGTTTATTTTCTATCCGTCATGTTGTAGGCGACACTCTGCAGTAAGTTTGTAATCACTTTTTTATGTAATCTGTGCAATATTGTAGTTTATTTGGTAACGTCTCTTGGCTTGTTCTTTAATAAATAGCATTATAACAGTTCTTTATATCAATATAAGCCAATTAAAAGCATGTACCAAGGCCAGCGGTGGAAAATAATTACATTTACTCACATACTGTATTATAGTGCAGTTG